CCCCCCCGCCCCAACACACACACACACACACACACACACACACACACAACTTTGTGCTCTGCGTGGCTCCAGGAGAGCCACCATTCCGATACCCCATCAGTGCCTCAGCATCGTCTTGCTGCGAGGTATTCCTCTCGACGTGGGAGTCTCTCGAGATGCTGGACTACCACCCCCGTTATCCCCAGCTAACAGGGCATGGAGGGTCAGAGTTGCAGTCTGAGGCATTTGGACGGTGCTGCTCTAAGGCAGCCCCCGCCCCTGCCCCCCCAACACGCATGGATCCAGTTTGGGACCTGGAGAAATGGCTGGAGCCCCACCCCGAAACGCTGGACCAGGGGACAAGCATGTTGGTATCCGTGCCTCTTGGGCTGAGTCTTACTCCGCAAAAACACGGGACACAGCGATGTCTCTTTAACGAGGGGTGATCTAATGAGCAGGCTGCTGGCACTGGTGCCGCCCAGGCTTCTTCTGAACAGGTACTTTAGCAATGTCTCCTAGCAGCTTGTTTTGTGAAGGAGGCTATTACACTGATACATTTTGTACTGGAACGGTCTTTGATATTCAGTGATGTGCTCATGCTTTTAAATTCTTTACCTGCTTCATGGGAATGAACCAAGTGTCAGGGGAAAAGGATTTTCTCTGCTTTTCCACAGCTGAAGGGCCAATGTTACAGAATTGGAAGGATAAACCCTTGTTCCTATAATGCAATGGATTGAGGAACCTGCTACACTGTTGATACCTGAAATGTGGCTTCTAAGTACCTGCAAGTAGATACTTAGTGTGATATTTGGTTCTGAGAGCTTTGCCCATCTCCACAGCAAGGCAAGGAAGTCCTGGTTGGATTGCATAACAATCAACATTTGTATTTGATTGATTTGATGGTGGGCATGTTGTGAGCGGAGCCGGCTGGTGCCGGAGGTCAGACTAGATGGCCCAGGAGATCCCTTCTGACCCACTCTGTTTCTATGTTTCTATTTATTTATTTAAAGTTTTTATATGCCATCCCAGTACTCTGGACGGCTTACAAAAAGTCTCTGGACGGCTTACAAAAGCCAAAAAGCAAAGCGAACCATAACAACAACAGCACACAACAGACTGCACCCGATAAATAGTGATAAAAACAAGGATAAAACCAAATTAACTGTTTAAATATTGGGAAAATAGAGGGTGCGATCCCATGCGTGGCCAGCCTGCAAAGCTGCACCACTCCCACGGCCCTTTCTCCATCCATACACGAATAGGATCGCAGCTTGGGACTGCCGGGAACATGGGGCTCCCGGTGGCTCAGCACTAGGGACTGAGCCTAGTGTAGCTTGCACAGTGGTTTCAATGTTAAGCTGGAATCTGGGAGGTCGGAGTTCTAGTCCCCACTCAGTCAAAGCAACCTGGGGTAGCCTAACCTACCTCACAAGGTTGTTGTGAAGGTAAGGTTGAGAGGAGGAGGGTTATTACATAAGCCTTCTTGGGTTCCTTGGAGGGGAAAAAAGGCAGGATATAAATTTATTTATTTAGTAGATCTGTTTAAAAGCCACTAGTTAGCATCCTGCTCTCTGGGAGGCTGTTACAATAAAAAATAAACCCATTATCCCCGGGTTACAGATGGCAAGAGGAAGTGCTGATGCTGGTGGGGAAGCTGAGGTCAAGAGAGTATGGTTGACCTCAAGGTGAGCCCAGTGCTTACAAAATCTTCCCCTCTTGGTTCCCGGTCTGGCCAACAAAAGGAACAGAGGCCCAGCTTAGTGCAGGGGTATTGAATTTCAGCCCAAAGGCCAGCCCGGATTTGGGAAGAATTCTCAGGCAGGCATGAGCTCCGAGAGGGGCAGGGACAAACGTACCCATATGCTATAGCTCAAAGTTGCTTCTGCCAACAACGAATCCTCCGTCCATCCAGCCGTTTGCAATGGGGAACAAAGATCGGGTGTGCCTCTAGAGGCAGTGATAGAGCGTGGCTTGATAGTGTTGGAGCCCCGAATCTTTCACTTGGCACCCCAAAACACTGGGAAGCTTGGATGCGGGCAGAAATGAAGGTCCAGGTACCCCAAATACCTCTGTTGCGTCAGAGACCCTGGAATTAGCTGCGATTTTGCTCACATGTACTTTATCTTGAGATCACTTTTCCTGCTGCAACCAACAGTTGTGAAAGTTTGGCTATGAAAAAGCCAGACAAGAGGGGAATGGACTGTTCGAACTGCGGGTTGGTGAGGCTTTTGTGCATTCCATGGACAGCAGGGGTGACGAACGAGCTAGAACTTATTAAACCTGGTTGGCAAGATAACAAAGCTGAGGCACCTATTTCGGCCACCATGTCATGTGATCCAGCTCATTAGGAAATCTATAATGCTTGGAACGCTCAGCGACAAAAGGAAACCAGGTGGCCAAAGAGTGAGGTGGTTAGAGCCACCAAAGAGGATGTGGCCAGAGCACAGTTCGGCTGAAGGAGGTGGCACGGGATCAGAGAGTGTGGCGAGATTTGGCCCGTGGGACCGCTTATCGTTGGACGTGACTGAACAGCTGAACAACACTCCATCCCGCGTTGACCCCCACCCCAAACCCTTCGGCCTGAGGGTTATTTCTGTCAATGCGTCCCTTTTATAAAAATAGAAGCGTCCTTTGGAGACCAGGACCTCCAGGTCCACACAGAGACTTTACAGCTTAAGTAAACCTATGCAAAGCTGTGCCGCCGCTGCTGATTCCTTTCGCTGTGAGCCCGGGCCTCTTGCAGGCTCCGTTTCCAAGAATAAGGGCTGCCGGGTCTGAGGCTTACGTGGGAGCCCTGTCCTCCCTCAGGCCCTTAAAGGAAGCCGTGCTCGCTGGGACGGAGGCTGCGGTCACCCCAGGGAGAGCGCAGCGCTCTGCACATGCTTGAGCCGCGTTTCCTCCGCGCTTCTGTTGCTTTAAAGAGAAGGCAGCGCCGAAGCGAAGGGGCGGGGCTGGGGCTCCTGGGCCAACCCGAGCCGTAGAAAGTTTCTTACAGGAAAGAGCAATTAAAACAAGCGCAGCAGCAGCTGCTGGACTGCGTTGCACTCCCGGTCTCCGAGTCGGTTTCCGCCGTGGAGCTCCCGCGGGAGGGACGGCGCGCTTCCCTGGCACCCTTTCTTGCCTGGCACCACCTTCCCGGCTCCGCTGGCCGCCTGTCGCCCTTCTCTCTGCGGATCGGGGGCTTCGGGAACCCCGGGGAAGAGGCTGAGGGCGCTCCACGCTCGGAGACGAGCCCCATGTGGGCACAGCAGCGCGCATGGCCGGCGCCCGGCAGGTACGTCCAGAGATGCGCCCGCTGCGAGCGCAGCTCCAGGAGGGCGCTTTGGGGCGTGGGGAGGGAGAGAGGAGGGTTGGGGGAAGTCTCTGCAGAAGGTCCTCCTCGCGGCCCCAATCCCTGCCTGGAGTGAGGAGCCTGACTCTGAGCAGGCGGTGAGGGAGGGAAGGGGCGCGTTGGAGAGCCGAGCTCGGGCAGCGTGGGGACCTTTGGGAGGCTGGGCGAAAGCGGAGCGAGGAGAGTTTGGGGGGCTCCTCCTCGCGGAAAATCGAGCAGGTGCGGTAGCAGCGGATCGGGCCCTGGAAGGCGGCTGGGAGCCGGCCTGTGGGTGCTGCGGGCGAGCGGTTGCCGTCCGTCGGTGCCCGGAAAGCGCCTTCCGAGTCGCTTGGCGCGACTCCCGGGCGAGGCTCATTTTGCCGCCGCCTGGTCTTAGGATCGCTCCAGCAGGCTTCGCGGCGGGTGGGCGTGACGTGCAGCCGGGCTTCGTTCTGCCTCCAGGTGAGGATCCGGCTGCCTGGCTGATCCCCCAGTCCATCTGCGGGCATGTTAGCATAAGAACCTGCTGGGTCGGCTCTTATCTGCCCTCACGGTGGCCAACCAGCTCCCCGCAGGCTCCTTTAAACAGTTCAACAGCTCCTCCTGCCCAAGTTTCCCAGCAACTGATGTGGCTGAATATGCCGCCTCTGACAGCGCAGGTAACACCCAGTCATGAGGACTAGTAACCATTAGAAACTTTGTCTTCCATCACTTTCTCCCTTTGAAATTGGTGGCCACCACTACTTCTTGTGGCAATGAGTTCCACAGTTACATGCTGTTTTAAGAAGTTCTTCCTTATCTCGAAGCTCCCACTAAAATTGGAGGTGTCTGCTCATTCTGCATCCATTTCTGATTCAGCTCTTTTTTAACCAGCCTCGATGAACAGAGAGATCTAAACCGGCAACAGATGCTTATTTCCATTCTGGGCAAAACTTCTAATGGCTGGTTTCTCGAATCTGTGATGCTGCACAGAGTGCCAGCCTGCTGTGGCCAGTAGGCAGTCTTGCTGAGCCTGGGGCCGGGATCGAGGCTCAGAGTCTCTGTAAAAGAGATAAGATGGAGGAGGAGATGTAAGCTGCCTTGAGCCCTTTGTAGGAAAAAGGCAGGATATAAATTAAAAAATAAAAAATAAATAAAATAAAAGCAAGCAGGGTTTAATTAACTCCATTCACAGTGCATGTGCTCATGCAGCCTCCCAGAGCCATGAAAAGGTTGGGGGTGCCCTGTAATAAGGGTTCTAGCTTGGGACAGTGCTCCCCAATTTGTCAAACTAGTTCTTCTGCTGGAGAGATTTGTCTGTCCCACAGGTTTTCCTCAGCAGAGATGGCATGGAAAGGAGCCATGTCCTAGCCAGAGGGCTGGGCTGATTGGCACATGATGCGATTCTCAAGTGGAAATTCACGGGTAAATATTGGGATCTCCAGGCTCACTGTGATTCTGAAGAAATCCACACGGTGCCCAGTTGGCTGCCATGGCAAAAGTGTGTGGAAGGACCTTAAAGCAATTTCCCTTTTCTTTTGTTTTAAATTGTCTGCTCATAAAAAATAAATTGCACCCAGCCTTTTGGTCCAGAATGGTGACTCACAGCTCCATTATATAAAGCATTACACAAGGACTGTGGAAGTATGGTGCTAAAGAGCCAGACCTAATCATTGAGTGGTGAAGTGCGTTCAAACCAAATGCCCTGTGAAATAATAAGGCCTTTATAACGTGCCTAAGTGACATTAAGAGCGAGCCAACATGCGTGGGAGGGAGTTCCACGACCTGGATATGCGGGACAAAACCCTCGTCCCGTGTCTCACTTAGCTAGACGGTGCGGGGGGGGGGGGCGGTGGAGTTCGCTCTCCGGCACAGCCGTTGATGGGATGCACGGTGCCGTCAAGCTTCTGCAAGAGAAGGTAGTTTTGACTCAAGCCATTTGTCAGCTTTCCGCCTTCTTATCTTTAAACCAGCCCGATTTGGGCTTTCAATCATTCCTAAAACCTGGGCAACCAGCAGGTGAAGGGTTCCCCACCACTTTAGTTGTGCTTGAAGGCAGACAGGACGGCTGGCTAGCCAGGACACCCCTTTTGTGCCTTTTTATCCCAGTCCGATGTGCAGTGTTTGCATGATGCAAAAGCACAAAGGCCTGGAGGTAGATTTCACGGATCTTGCCTTGAGGGCACAAGCACACTGGCCTGTTTGAGATTTGGCAACCCTGGTGTGACGTGGGCAGGGGTTAGGGATCTGGATCTTCCAGATTTTCCCTGGAGGCGCCGTACGGTCTCGGAGTCAAGTGCTCCCAAGTGCATGCTGCACTTGGGAGGTGGGGCTGCTGGTGGGAAGGGACCCTGCACTGTGGGTTCTGCTCCTCTCTGATAACGGACGGTAAAGGGCAGCAGTTGCTGTTGTGACCACTTTGGGGTAATGCGTTCACCATCCTGAGCCAGTTTCAGGCCGGCGGAATGGGATGCGCTCACCTGGTGGAAGTGGCGTGCTGGGGAATTGAATGCCACCTTGGTTGTGCTTAGCTGAGCTGTGTGAGGGTCCCACCAGTCGTCCTGAAGCACTGGGGGCCATGGGCTGCTCCTTGTCCCAAGCCTAGCCAGGCCGCCGGAGATCTGGTGGGCCCTGAAACGTCTCTCCCTACGCTTCTGCTGCAGCCCCATGTTTGATGCTGATCCCACCTTCTTGCCAAGTTCGAGCAGTGGCAGCGAACAATCAGCACACCAGATCGGAGCCCCGAGGTCCGAACGATTGCAAGGCCCCGAGCTTGCGGAAAGGGGAACCCAATGGGAAAAGAATGGGTCTTTCTGCTGTGACGAGGGTCGTCTGCTGCTTTGGAGGGTGGGAGGGCTGCTGGCTGCACCACTGCCCAGCACTGGAGATTTTTTGTGGTGGAAGGGCCAGGGATGGAAGTGGTGCAGGCAGCACCTGTTTGTTTATGACGCTTCTCTACCTCGCTGCAGCCCCTGGGCCCTCTGGGCGGTTCACAGGTATAGTTAGTCTAACTAAACGTAGGATAGTTCTGTCTAGTTAGCTCAGGGCCTGATTTGGACAGGGGAGATGGAAACTGGCTGGGAATTATAGGCTGTTCTCGTGCTTGAACATTCATTCATCATTATTTATACAGTCACCTGAATTAAAAAAAAGAGTGTTCCGCTAAGTTTCTCTGGAGGAATGGATCAAGGATGCATCTTTGGCTGTCCGAAAGACACCTGAAGATTGAAAGCAGGGTAAAGGAGGACCAGGATCCCTTTCTGATTTTTGTATTTACAGCCAACAATTTTGATACAATAATAAATATAATATTGATTTATTGTATTTATAGCCAAGCCAAAATACAACCCCTTGCCCTCTCGGTTTTGTTTTCACAACAACCCTGTGAGGTAGGATAGGCTGAGTCAGTGGCTAGTACAACGCGGCCTGGTGAGCTTCACAGGGATTCGAACTGGGCTCTCCAGAGTCCTAGCCCAGCATGTGAATCGCCGGCCTCTTCTGTCTAGCCTGCCCTACAGTTGAGAGCAACTCTGAGCATGTGGAATGGGGCACCTTTGGGTCTTGAGAGCAGCCTCCCCAGCCCAGTGCCCTCCTCCAACTTCCATCCGCCCCAGCCAGGATGCTGATCGGGGGCAGGTTGGACAGCCAGCCTGGCGTTGGAGCACCAGGTGAGGGAGAGGTGGGTAAGGGCACAGGCTGATGCGTGAGGGCACAGAAGAAGGTCCTGCAGCCCCGAGCATTCCTAGGCAGCTGTGGATCCCACCCTTAGGGACGTGGACTTTTGAAAATGCAGAGCAGGCCCCCGGAGAACGTCAAGGGATCAGGCCCGTGTGTGGCACCCCTTGCCGATTTCTGGCCTCTGTCCTGGGAACGTCACCTTTTCCATGCCACAGCTGTTTCCACCAACCACCAGGCTTTCACCAGCAGGAAGTCGCTTTTTTCGTGAGCTAAATTGCTGCACATTTGTGGGAACCGAATTGAATTTCTGCCATTGTGGGGTCATAATTGGCCTGCTTGACTTGTTAGCAAGAGTTGGGGGAGAAGTTATGCCAACAAAAGGCTAAAGCTTGGAGTTTTTTCTCCCCCGGCACCCCAGTTGATCTGATCTGATCTGATCTGATCGTGCATTGAGGATTAGGGCTGTGTGTCTGCGGAGACCTACCTACCTGCCTGGCAGTTTGTTACACTGAACGGCACGGGAGGTTACTAAATCAGTCCCCCTGAAATTATGACTTTGTGGGATTGTGCAGCATTTAGACTGTGCATCACTTTAACTGATTGCTCTTCTGTGTTTCCACCCTTGGTGCCTCTCCCTTTCTCCTCCACCCTCCTCGGCACGCACGCACCATACCTCTTCCTGGGAATACAAACCAGTGGCCGGATGCCAGATTCTATCCTGGAATGCATTATTTACCGGGCTTCTTGCGCAAGAGGCCTCTCTTATCGGGCTCTACCTTCAGGGTGCAATCATTTTTCACGGAAATGGTATATTCTTAACTGGGGCAAGTTTACAGTTGTGCCACTTGTGTGGGGCTGTTGGGGAGGTGCTTTGCGCTGCTCGGGAAGCTGGTTCAGGGGGGCCCTTTGCAAAGGATTGTTGTGTTAGTCAGTGGTCGCAAAAGCAACTGACTCCAAGCAAGAGGCTTGTGGTCCCTTAAAGATTAACACTCTGGTTATGGCAAGCCTTGGCTCTAACCCATTTCATCAGATGCGTTGTTGTTGTTGTTGTTGTTGTTGATTCCCACCTTGCATTCCTATCCTGCTTTTTCCCTCTTGTGAGCAATCCGCTTTATCTGCACACCAATAGCCTTGTGAGGTCGGTTCGGCTGAGAGCGAGTGACTGGCCCAAAGTTGCCCTTCATGGCCAAGCGGGGACCAGAACCCTGATCTTCCAAGTCCCAGTTCAGCACTCTGACCACCACACTCCACTGCACCTCCTGTCCCCCTGCCAGCATGATAGGATTTGTAGTCCAACATACCTGGCG